GCGAGTCTGATAAGAGCGAAGTTTTTTACAAATGCCATCTGAAAAAGCTTGGTGGTATAAAAATCTTTTTTGGACAAGTTCAACTCGGTTAGATTGTATCTGGTAACCGGGATTCCATCCGGTATCGCGGGGACCCCGCAGACGTGCGCAGGATGGCCCGCGCGTGGGGGCTGAGTACGTGGCCTAGTGAACTTCATTCTTACAGCATGCGCCCGCAACTCTCTCCGCATTCAAGATAGTTTGATTTTTTTTTGAGAATTCCAGAGAAATCCAAGACTTTCCCTGGGATAAAACAGAATATTCCAGGTGTCAATCTTGGTGATAAACTATACAGTGTGAATTTTGAGTTACCTGAAGAACCTTAAAATCAGGTTAATAAAAATAGTGCGGACTGTTATAAACAGCAAACCCCTTATTAGCAAACAAGGAATAAACTTAGACAAGTTACGCAATGTTTTGTTCATATCACTCAAATGTAATTTCATGAACAGAGACAAAACATTGAGTAATATAAAAAAATAAACTAATCGAAGCTTAATCTTTGTTTATTCATAAGGGGGTAAGCGTATATTCGGTACAACACGGAATTTCGGCCAATAGGTTATTTGACAGTATTAAAAATAAAGTGTGTATTTAGAATGCATATTGGCAGGAGTTTTTACTATTTTTATAGAAAAAATATTCATAATTTTACTAAAATAAAAACCCACGATAAAGATAATAGTTTTCTTGTCTTTTTTCACGTGACCCAAAACGCTTGAGATGGGTGGAGCCTAAAATTACGTCACACGCAAGTAAACTTCCGGTTAAGTGACATTAGATTGTATGGTTTGACGTTTTAATGACAGTCGTGTGACGTCACACACCAGTGAGACGCCATATTGTCCAGAGATACGTTTTTCGCGGCAACTTGAAAATAGAGTTTTTGATTTAGTTTTTTTACCGAAATACACAACATAATGATGAATATCCACTTTTTATGGACTCTACAAACATTAGTAAATAATGTGAGATCGTTTTCTAAAACTTGTCAAATACCCTATTAGCGCCCGTTATTTAACATGAGTACACCGGACTTGCTATAAACTAAGCTACATCTATAACAAAATAATAAAAGACAAAAGACAATCAGAGAAAATTTAAATGACTCTTCTTTTGTCCTACTTGCTCGTAGTTTCGTTTGTTCGGTTGGTAGTCCAGTGATTTTTTCTTCACGTTTAATAGAGATTTTTTTTACTTTTTTCTCTCCTTGAAACACTCGTCGCGGCCAGCCAGCGAGCGCCGGACTCTGTCTGCTGCCGTCGAGTGTTACTCGAGATAGGGTCACCAAATGAAACTTGTAACCTTTTTTTTATGTTATAGGGCATACGAGCAGACGTCTCACCTGATGGTAAGTGATCACCGTATTGGTCCGGGAACACTGCTGGCGACAATATATTCCACAGTTTAGCCAGTTTAGTTTGCCTGTGCTAGCGTTTTCTACTCTCAGAGCTCTTGGAATATTATAAGGATAAAAATCTACAATATGAGGAGCTGGCGAACAAAACGGTATAATTACATCAAATTAAATTTTACATTAGCAGTAAAAAGCTGAATGACGTACCTACGGTGAGCTTTTGGCGTGAATTTTAATTTTGTAATTTTAACACTCAATCAAAAGATTGACGTAGGTTGTAATTCAAATTCAGCTGGCCCAAAACCTCCGGGCTGTAAAAAATTATAGTTACTCCGTGATCATGGCGCTTGCAACAATGCCGAAATATCGGAGACTCATAAAAAACAAGGTACATGGTAACGATCCCATCAATATCTATAATGTAAAAAAAAAGTATTATATGGTCAAAACCATATATGTAATTATATCGTTTTGTTCACCAGCTCCTCATATAATTTCCGCTCCAACTGGAGTGCCGGTCTGGGGTAGTAATATATGTTATTAACGGGATTGTTACCATGTACCTTGTTTTTAGCGAGTTTCCGATATTTCGGCACTGTTGCAAGCGCCATGATCACGGAGTAACCAGTTACTCCGTGATCATGGTTACTAACAGTATAGTAGTAATATATGTTATTATCGGGATTGTTACCATGTAGGTACCTTGTTTTTAGCGAGTTTCCGATATTTCGGCACTGTTGCAAGTGACATGATCACGGAGTAACTGGTTACTCCGTGATAAGTAATTGGTCGCGGACCTGCGTCACCGAGCTCTTCGAAATTACCATATCTACAAAAAAGAGCAATACAATAATTTCAGTACTTACATATAATTTATATTAATAAGTCAGAGTTGCAAGCCCTGCTCCAGCATTTTGCAAACGGCCATCTTGGCTCCGAGCCACATTGGCACCGGACTTGTATGAAATTGACTTTAGAAGGAATGCAAATATTTATAGTGTACCTCATTAGTATGCAGTGGCGAACTTGAGATATAATTGCCTGTGTTAAAAAACTGACAAAGAAGCACATGGGCCGACTGATGGTAAGCGGCCACCATAGCTTTAGACGCTTGCGATACTAAAACTTTCGCTCGCACCGTTTCTGACCCTGACCTCATTCTTTACCCCGTGGAGCCTTAAGGGGCCCATATACGGAATGATAGATCTGTACGATCCGTCGTTTCAGACCGATCGAAACGATGGATCGACAGTGTATGTCAAGATCGTTAACGATTTACTTGATCGCAGACGATATCGGAGATCGCAACAAAAACCCGTGCAATCATGAATATCGTAAACGATCGATCGTCAGTGTTCCATATACGGTACGATTGATCGGTACGATCCGTCGTTTCAGACCGATTGAAACGATGGATCGACAGTGTATGTCAAGATCGTTAACGATTTACTTAATCGAAGACGATATCGCAAATCGCAACCAAATCCCATGCAATCATGAATATCGCAAACGATCAATCGTTTCGTGCATGTAGTGGCATTTCTGAACGAACGATCGTTAACGATTTCCTGCAGATCGATCGCCACGACAAATCGTTTACGATCAATCGTTTCGTGTATGTAGTGGCATTTTTGAACGATCGATCGTTGACGATTTCCTTCAGATTGATCGCAACGAAGAATCGTTCCATATATGGGGCCCTTTAGAACCTTACTCACCGATAGAAACACGACACCACCAAAAGGTAGTGTTATTTTTCTGTAGTCTTCGGGGGCGGGCGCTCCAATTCGAGCGGAAATGCCGCTGTGCTAAATTCCGTAGAAAAAGCTTGCATGACATCGCAGTTAGTGGAGGTCTAAGTCAGAGCTTTAATTTGGCCAAACTAAATTAATACTTCATCATCATCATCAGCCTATTAATGTCCCCACTGCTGGGGCACAGGCCTTCCCTATGAATGGAATAGGGAAATTGGGCCATGACCCACCACGCGGACCCAGTGCGGATTGGTGGGTGCTAACGACTGCAGATGCAGCCGGGACCAACAGCTTAACGTGCCTTCCGAAGCACGGAGGAGTTCGAGATAGTAAAGTTTTGGTCACCCATCCAATGACCGACCACTGCGAAAGTTGCTTAACTTCAACGATCGCAGCCGAACGCGCTAACCACTTGCGTCATCGAGCTCCTCCTAATTAATACTGACCATATTTATATTGGTGTGTGAAGAGTGGGGACTAAACCTCAAGACCGACCCGTTAATTAATTAGCGAGCCGCGAACCCGCCACGTAGTCCAGTCAATATAGACATTCCAGTTTGCATTAATTCCCAACAAGCTGGATTTTTGTGCAGGCCTTGAATACGTCATTACAAATGATAATATCAAAAGTCCCCATCGATCCCGCTTGTGCGTTGTTCTTTATTCGAGGTCAAAGGTCACAAATTTGCGTTTTTTGCGTATATCTCTGAAACAATGAGAGCTACCGAAAAATAGTTCAAACAAAGTTTGTAGATCGTAAAATTGTCAAGAAAGATTGCTGGGAATTAATGCAAACTGGAATCAAAATTTAATCTATTTTGACTGGACTAACGTCCGAAGTAGTTAAAACTAGAACGGATTCCCCGCGCCGCCAGCGACGAGCGAGAAGAAGACAACAGCATATTTATATTGAGGAGCTCGATGGCGCAAGTAGTTAGCGCGTTCATCTGCGATCGTTGCAGTTAAGCAACTTTCGCAGTGGTCGGTCATTGGATGGGTGACAAAAAATTTATACAATCTCGAGCTCCTCCGTGCTTCGGATGGAATGTTAAGCCCCTACTCCCAAACTTTGACGCGCTTTAACTTTGTCATTTTTTGGTTGATTGCCCAAAGAAAAAATACGTGTCCATTATTTTTTTATCATCTAACTGACGGACTAAATACAATTTCGTTTACTGTACCCCGTCATCACAAAAAGTATGAGATTTATTTGAGTTCTCGATATCCGAAGGACGAAACAATGCAATCGAACTCAATAATAGACTTCGCCGGAGGACAGAGCGATATGTCTGCCAATAACAGCCTACCCTCAATTACTTCAGTTACTCCGTGATCATGGCTCTTGCAACAGTGTCGAAATATTGGAGACTCGCTTAAAACAAGGTACATGGCAACAATCCCGTAAATAACTTATATTACTATAATGTACTAGTAGCTCGATGGCGCAAGTGGTTAGCGCGTTCGACTGCGATCGTTGAACTTAAGCAACATTCGCAGTGGTCGGTCATTGGATGGGTGACAAAAAAATTATACAATCTCGAGCTCCTCCGTGCTTGGGATGGAACGTTAAGCCGTTGATCACGGCTGCAGCTACAGTCGTTAGCAGCCCCCAATCCGCACTGGACCCGCGTGGTGGGTCATGGCCTAATCTCCCTATTCCGGCCTTAGGGAAGGCCTGTGCCCCAGCAGCGGGGACATGGTTAGGCTGATGATGATGATGATAATTGTCACGAGAATAATATGAGAGAAAACAGCATTATAGTTTATTTAAATATAATACGTTTTACTAATACAGTACATTGGTATAGTCAACATCGATGTAATTGATACGCCATAACTTGACGAATTTATTACTCATCCGATTTACTTAAAAGGGTGTAGTAACTGTAAGCTCCTTTTAGAATCTGAAAAAAAGGTAAAAGTCAACTTTTAATAGCACGTAAAGTTAAAGTTTATATGCAACTAGCGGTCCGCCCTCGCTTCGCTTCGGTGTAGAGCTGAAGTGTAGACTACATTTTTTGTTCTCAGGCTTGTATTATACACAATGACATTCATCTATGATTCTTCTTATACCTGCATGCAAAGTCTCAGCCCGATCGGTTTAAAATTGACAAAGTTTCATACAAACTCTCATTCCCTATTTTATCCCCTTGGCGGTAGAAGTGATCAAAATCCTTTCTTAGCAGATGCCTACGTCATAACATCTACCTGCATGCTAAATTTCAGCCCGATCCGTCCAGTGGTTTGGGATGTGCGTTGATAGATCACTATGTCAGTCAGTCACCTTTGAGTTTTATATATATATAGATATGAGTTTATTCAACTGCGTTCTGTCTCTGTATATTGTATAATGTCCAATATTTTTTTATTTATTCAATTTACTCCACAGTGTCCCATACATAACTGACGTACAGACGCAGACATGGTTTGAAACCGTGTCTAGTCCCGCGAAGAAATCGCCTCATTAACAAGCGCCCTTATGAAAGGGTTTTCCCTTTCTTTTTGTCTTCACACTAGACTAGGAGGGAGGAGCTCAATGGCGAGAATGGTTAGCGCGTTCGGCTGCGATCGTTAAAGTTAAGCAACTTTCGCAGTGGTCGGTCATTGGATGGGTGACCAAAAATCTTCTATCTCGAGTTCCTCCGTGCTTCGCAAGGCAGGTGTAGCCTTTGTTCCCGGCTGTATTTGCAGTCGTCAGCACCCGCCAATCCCCACTGGGCCCGCGTGGTGGGTCATGGCCCAATCTCCCTATTCCAGCCATAGGGAAGGCCTGTGCCTGAGCAGTGGGGACATTAATAGGCTGATGATGATGATGATAACACTAGACCATGCTAAAATAACACCTACCTCTTGGTGGTAATGATTGTCAGTATTAGGGCTGAAATATTGGTACTAGACCACCCTTTCTTTTTGCCGTGGGGAACGCATACCCTGCCGCCTGACAAGCCGCGTGGTTATTAGGGACTCTAATCCGTAGACTCATCCAAGGCTAGAGAAAATTCGACACGGCCGTCAGGGCCGCGGTAGCATAATGGTTAGTGCATTCGCCAGGATAGCGAAGGGTGCGGGTTCGCGTCTCGTCTGCTGCCTGGTCCGCCTACATTATTTTCTAGTATTTTTTTCTTTGGATTTAAATAAAAATAAATAAAACCTTGTGTAGTTAATTCTACTTACTTGTATGAAAGTAGCAACAGTTAATTTAGTGAAAGGTCCCACTGAGAATTCCACAACTTTACTGAACTGTGCAGTTAGTATGAACAAATTCTTTCTGTGCTCCACACCTCGAGACCACCAGATGCTCTCATAAGGAGCTAAGCTCAGATCTCGACTCTGAAATAATGTGAGAATATAAAAGTAAATAACATACGGGGCAAACATGCATAGATAAAATAAAAAAAAATAACAGACGGGGCCAACACGCATAGATAAAATAAAAAAATAAATGACAGACGGGGCTAACATGCATAGATAACATAAAAAAATAAAACGGACGGTGCCAACATGCATAGATAAAATAATAAAATAAATGACAGACGGGGGCCAACATGCATAGATGAAATAAAAAAATACGAAACGTATTTTTTTATACACACTGTTTTCCTACTAATATTTAAATGTGAAAGTTTGCATGTTTGTAGCTCAATCAAGCAAAAACTGTTAAACCGATTTTAATGAAATTTGTCACAGATATAACCTAGTTTATTACCTGAATTGAGACTAAGAACATTTTTTATTCCCAGAAAAAAAACCTAAGGATTCTTAAAAGATTAAAGTTGACTTAGCCGAAGTCACTGGCGGCCACTATTAAAACAATATTTTTTCAGTAAAAACAGAACCCTATCCCTGTCACTCTGGTCTGTCTATCCGTATGTTACGGGTATCTAGATTGTAAACGGAGTGAGTAAGGGAACTGAAAGTTTGGCATTTCATGTATTCTACAAGGAGCTAAGCTCAGATCTCAGCTCTGAAATAACGTGAGAATATGAAATTAAATAACAGACGGGGCCAACATGCATAGATAATATAATAAAATAAATGACATACGGGGCCAACATGCATAGATAAAATAATAAAATAAATGACAGACGGGGCCAACATGCATAGATGAAAATCACGGGTATCTAGATCGTAAACGGAGTGAGTAAGGGAACTGAAAGTTTGGCATTTCATGTAGAATGCTCGTCCAAAACTGAATTTTTAATTAAAAATCAATTCATTTTATTTTTATGATGCTATATTATTTAAATTTGTAAGGAAAAAATAAAAACCTAATAAAATAAAGTATGAATTCCTATTCATGACACGATCTTCTACGGTCGTTCTTTTACCATCCAAGCTGTACGTCTATGGAATTATCTTCCTGTATCCATAAGACGAGCACAATATATTAAATGTCTTTAAAAATCTTGTTGTAAATCACTGTTTTTCGATGTAGCTGCATTTCTATCACTGCTGACGGGACTAAACTTATATATGTGTAGTTTATGTATATATAATACGTATGTATATATATATGTATCTATTTATATTAAATTCATAAATTCATTTATAACCCTTATTACTTTTATTGACACCGCCGACTCCAGCTTTCTTTCAATCCTCTCCATCCAAAGGTTGTCTGGAAGAAATCGCTTTTAGCGGTAAGACCGCCCATTGAAGCACACACAATTGTTATTACCCTGACTTCTGTTCTGTATTGTGGTATTTTTAATAAAGTATTTGTATTGTATTGTATTGTATGAGTGATACTCGAGTTCGATGGTGCAGGTGGTTCGGCTGCGATCGTTGAAGTTAAGCAACTTTCGCAGTGGTCGCTCATTGGGTGGGTGACCAAAAATCTTCTATCTCGAGTTCCTTCGTGCTTCGGAAGGCAGGTTAATCCGTTGCTCCCGGCTGCATCTGCAGTCGTTAGCACCTGTGTTAGTTCATGATAATGAGTGATACTAACAGCATACAGTACATCGTTGCTATGCCAACAGTAGATGAACAGCTGTGTGACGCAGAACACGAGGTATTCTGTAAACACTAGACGCTGCACGAAACTCGGCTCAGTCTGAAAGAAAAATTACAACAGAAGAAATGATGCACAATAATCACACTATAATATTATTAAGGCGAAAGTTTGTGAGTGTATGAGTGTTTGTTACTTCTTCGCGTCTTGACGGCTGGAGCGATTTTAATAAAATTTGGTATGGAGTTAGCTGTCACCCTAGATTAACACATAGCCTACGTTTTACTGCGGGAAAATATCCCTAATAAATTGGAGGTAACACCGCGGGGCACAGCTAGTAGAGAATAAATACGATATAAGGTATTGTTGTTCTAAGGTTACAGCTTCATGACACTTCAGTTGTACGACTGGCAGCGAGCAACCGACTATTTTCTCGCTGAAGAACTATAAATAGATATACATTCCGTGTAAGCAAAGGAGATGTATGGTGGAGCAAGTTCTCGCCGGCATTGTGATCAGCGATCCACCGTTAATGGTAGGGGAGGTTGGGATTTTTGGATTTACTCAAGCGCGGCAGATTAACACATGGAGGGCAACCTTGCCCCTAATTAAGTACTCCCATCTTTGTAGGGCTGAATGTCTAGGGCAGCCAAAAAAATTCAACGAACTGTCATTACTTTTGGTCGTGTCCAAATCGTCAGTCTTTTGAATAGGAGTTATTTATACGTTTCTTTAGCGACAAATAAGCTGATAGTTAGTAGCTTCCTCGCCAGCGGGTGCTCGGTCAGATGCCGTAAAGATATATTTTTTTTTTATATAAAACAAGGTCAGAAAATGTCCAGCATAGCTAATAAGGCTATATTGCGATCCATTTTAATATACAACCGTAACTAGACGACCAACGCCTGTCTGTCTGCCAAAGTGGAAGTTAGGTAACAATGCCGCAATGCTCGGCCTCAAGATGGGTGTCCGAAAGCCGATAATTGGTTCCGGCTGCATCTGCATTCGTTAGTACGCACCAATCCAGACTGAACCCGCGTGGTGGGTCACGGCCGTGGTGGGTCATGGTCCTATCTCCCTATTCCATCCATAAGAAAGCCTGTGCCCAGCTGTTGGGACATTAATAGGTTGATGATGATATATTTTGCCTTTCAGCTCTTACTTTGGGGCAAGCCTTAGTGTCCCCGCACACGGGCCACACGCCACAGCCACAAACGCCGCCATGAGAAGCTATAAGCGGTTACTAAAGTGGCTGAAGCGCGCGACAGCGCAGCGGCCGAATAAGGTAAGGGAGAGAGGGGTGAGGAATCGCGCGAGTGACGTGTGGCGGCGTTCTGTCGTTGTGATCGGTGGCTCGTGTGCAGCGACACTTATTGGTGTGTCTGTTGGAAATATTTATTTATTACCGTTATTTGATAAGCTGTCACACACAGCATTACAGAACAGATGATGGTATAGCACAGCATGACTGGAGACAAACATTCGTCGAATAAATGAATGTATCTGAAAACAGACACAATTTCACATCAAAAACGCACTTTGTTAAACAAGGTAACATAAAATAATATAAATATAATAAAGTGTGTATAAAAACTTGTCTTCTTTAGAAAGGTTACTATACAGTTAAAAATTTCATAGATGATAAGGCACCTTGGGCTTAATATAATAAATAGACTTAGTCGTTAATTTGCTAATTTGGTTGAAAATTGATAGTTATACTTAAATTATTGTTATTTACTACATGTTTTTAGTTTTTGATGTCATCTTTCAATTGACGACACTGTATGAAACAAAACAGGGAGAAAAAATAGCCCTTGCTGAGTTTCTTGCCGGGTCTTCCCGGTACAAGGTCTCCCGCCGTAGATTTGCGAACCGATGGCGTAGCGTTTGACTTTCACAAGAGCTTGTAACAGCCTAGACTAAATAAATTAGTTCGAGTAAGAGTTTAAAAGACCCTAAAGCTGAAGTTAAAAAAAACCCTTAATTTCCCCCCCAGTTTCAGAAAAATATCTAAACAAAGAGAGTTGGACTTAAAAAAGATCCACGAAACAGTTCTTGTAATGCGATATATTATTTCATTTTGGGAAATGATCCAGATATAAATAATACCCTAAAAAATTAAGCAAAGCCCTTACCAAACCCTTTTTTGTGTCTGGAAAATGCCTTACGCATCCTTCAACCGCTGAGGGAGCGAGAAGAAGGTATGTGGGACTCCTCCCTGTCCCCTTCAGCCAGCCCTGGAGCTCGCTGATGTGAACAGGGCCCTACCTACGCCCTGAACAGGGCCACAAAAAACCAGACAATACTCCTGCACCGTCACCCGACACGCACTATGAGGACCGCGGTCCCCCTAGTGCATGCCGAGAGGGCATGTGTGGTCGCGGAACCCGTCTCCGAATGGCCGCGCACTTACCAAACCCTACCCCACTTATTTTATATTTTACCCAGCCCAGAGGCTCGATAAAAATAATCAAGACCCTTACCAGTAAATAAGTACCAGATAATTCTCTGCACCGGTCACCAAACACACACAGTGAGGACCGAGGTCCCCCTAATGCGTGCCGGGAGTGTGGGTAGTAACCAGTGTTGCCAGATCCGATTTTTAAAAATCAGGAGGCGTTATAGAAAAAAGCAATATATGGAAAAGAGCTACAAGAATGTAAAAGTAGATGCAGGGGCGTACTTTTTCCAATTTTCACCACACACCCCTCCCCCCTGTTTTTTTTTGACGATGGAGAATCCATTTACGGACCATACCGCTCGCTGGATAGACGCCCGACGTGTGTGGGACTCCCCGACGCGGAACAGCGTGGATCCTTCCCACTAAAAACCACCGGTACCTTCCTACACCCTTGTGGGAGCGCCTCAGGATCGGCGCACCTCCGTGTGCGCCACTTCACTGTGACGCCACCCCCTAGGGGGGACCTAGAATTGGTAAATCAAATCAAAATATAGGCCACTAACGAATGTGTGTCTGTGGCTTCTGCCACCCCTCAAAGCTCGTCTTTCCTTTTTATACTATAACATTTATTTTATAATAATTAAGGTTACCTTCATTATTTACTGGCGGACAATTCAACTCAACATGCAATTTAAAAAAGAAAATCGTATTCTAAGAAATACAGTAGAACAGGAGAAATTTCAAAAAAACAGTAGGTCTTCTGTAAAATCGGGAGACCTGACAACACTGGTAGTGACACGAGTCCTACAAGAAACTAGCCACGCACCCAGAAGGTGATTATCCGCTAGTGGACGAACTTAATGGGTTATTTCATTGCGATGTACTGCTTTAAGGACTGGTTTTATGAAATGTTGATAGAATGATCTTGGAACTTGTTAGCGCTATATCACACAGAACATTTAATATAATGACCTCCATGGTTGAGTGGTTCGTACGCGGGGTTTCATGGTGTCGCCGACTCGAGAGGTCCCGGGTTCGAATCCCGGTGGGGGCAGATGTTTGTGTGATGAATACGAGCATTTGTCCTCCAGCATGGATATTTAATGTGTATTTCTATATAAATATACTTTTATATGTTTTTTTAATGTTATAGGTGGCATACGAGCAGACGACTCACCTGATGGTAAGTGATCACCGTCGCCCATGGACACTTGCAACACCAGGAGTATCACAAATGCGATGCCGGCCTTTAAGGAAGGAGTACGCTCTTTTTTTGAAGGTTTTTGGGTCGTATTGGTCCGGAAACACTGCTGGCGACAATATATTCCACAGTTTTGTCGTACGTGGTAAAAAATTTCGACAAAAACGCACGATTGTGGATAGCCACGCATCAAGATGATGGGGATGAAATTTTTGTCGCGATGTACGATGGCGAAATGCAGCAGCTGGAATTAATCCGAACAATTCCTCAGAACACAGTATATGCATTCTATCCGTCACCCTAGTATCCCATAAAACTAGCCTTACAGTGCTTACTTTGGGGCTAGGCTAATTGGTGTATGTTGGAAATATTTATTTATTATATCTTTATATTCAATTTCTCGGCTCTTGGTCGATTTTAACATAATTTTAAGAGACGTTCAAATAAAATGTACCTATTTGTTTCTTAGATTTTTACGCACATCACTCATATAAAACAATGGGTTAGATCATAGAGATAGGTAAATATACCAAAAGATGCATTGATTTTATTTATTTATTGACGTGGTAATTTACGGTAGTTAGAGAAGAGGTTAGTAAAGAATTAAATAAAATGCTTTAATAATTAAATTAACTAATCAATTTTATGCATAGACAATAAAGTTTTTCAGAATCTTCCAATGATATATCAGAACGCTAAACAAAAGTCTTTCGAAGGTAGCTCGACAAAGTAAATAATAAAAAAACATTATTCTGACGACGTATTCCTGCAAAGGCTGCGAAACGTCAATAAATAAACAAAATCAGTGCAAAAAACCCGTTGAAACTTGCTTTATTTAAAATGTATTCATTGAGTTTTTGTTGAGTCTTCTCTTCTTCTAAGAACTTTCTCATAGAATTACATACATATATTTACTGAACTGTTTTATGGAGAGAAATTTAAATAATGTTCGCCTAGATACTATTAAGTTCTTTCTGAAGTTAATTCAATACAAGGAGGAGACAAATCGCCTTACTGAGTTTATTTTCGCCAGTTTTTCTCAGAAGGTCTCCCAATTTGGAACTACGAACGTGTAAAACCTTAATGTGGAAAGCTTCGTAGGAACTTTTGTATTGACATTGACTGACATTACTTTGTGTATTATGGTAATTAGCGATGATTTTGTGCAAGTTTTGAACACATTCGTCTTTACCGCCAAGAGAAGTTGTAAAATGCTTTCGATTTGCATCAATTTTTAAAGTCTGTTTGTTTTTAAGCTATTGCAAAGATTTTATCGCGGGCTTTGAGCGCGGCGAGCAAATCAAGAAATTCCGTAACGAAAATAAGCTGGCGACAGTGCATATGAACATAGTTTTAGCCTTTCCATTATCGATCGAAACGGCGCAGTGTGTTAAAATTTTGTCACGGGAGCAACGTTCGACGCATCACCGCGGTCGTCGGTTCAAATCCAGCACTCGTATTTTTTACTATATTTTTTTTTTCTTTTTTTAATATATTTGTTTTAGAAGCACCCAGCACCTGTTCTTATTTTTATTTGTATCCCTTTTATTTAGACATTACAATTTAAATTTTTGGTTCAATAGATGGTAAACTGTGGAGCTTGTGGAAGTTTTTTGGCGCCGGGCAATGCTGTTGTTTGCTGTGCTTGCCCAATAAAATATCATAAGGCCTGCCTCGACATCTATTAATATCAAAGAAAAAACTTGAATTAATATCAAATAAAAAAAATACTGCATAATAAAATTAATAAATAATTATAATTGCATAAGTTGATAAATAATGCTATGCAATAGCTTTACCGCGGCAGTCCCCGAGTGCCACACAATTTTTTTTTTATGTTAGAATCATATCATCATAGACTATATGTATATAACCTCTTGCGATACCAAAAATATTATCGCGCCATTGCCTACCCCTACCTCATATACTATCCCATGGAGCCTTTAAACCTTACTCACTATTAGGTTAGTAGGTTGGTAGGGGAGTGGAAGTGGGGATTCTTGGATTTACTAGAGCACGGCAGATTAACATACGAGGGGCAACCTTGCCTCTAATAAAGAACTCACACCATATTTGAGCCATCTACTCGTATGTAGGGCCGAACGTCTAGGGCAGCCAAAAAAATTTCAACGAACTGTCATGACTTTTGGTCGCGTCCAAATCGTCAGTCTTTTGAATAGAAGCTACTAGAGGATTCATGTAACGTTTGTAAGAAGAGAAAGAATACTGATCTGCTGCGGTTTGCATGTTAGGTAGCCGTCCGAAGGGGTAGAAAATGGGGGAAAAATCGGGCATGTCAGTTTAAGACTGAGAAGGGATGTTACGTTACGTTCCTGGTGATTTGGACGCGAACCTTACGGATAGAAACACAACACCACCTAAAAGTGGTGGTATTTTAATGTGCTCCTATAAAAATATATAGCAACATTTACATAAATACTTTTGTAAATTCTCTTAACAATATAACCTTAAATACTTTTGTAAATTCTCTTAACAATATAAGTAAGAATTTATCTCAAAATATTCATTAACACAGTACAGATGTTAATAACAATACGGATACGAACTCTCTGGCGCGTCTAAATAAGTGAAAATATCCGTGTTAACAGTAATTTCCTCCCATATGCCTTAATATCGCGAAACTCGTAAACAAGTTCGGGGTGAATTTATCTTAAAGCTAACTGTGCAAGTTAGATTGACTTTTCAGTTGTTAATTTGGAATTTCGCACGTGTGTTTGTTGCTTGGGAACAATGCGAGATCGCTATCATCGTTTCTGTTTGCCGTCTATTTGTATTTTGATATCAGATTCTGAACGGATTGCTAAAGCGTCGTTCAGATATAATAATAATTATAATTTATTTTCCTTTACAATAGCCTTCTTAACAAAATGATCGATTGGA